AGAAATCACTAGTCATCCACCTGGCAGTCCTAACTGGGCTCCTTCTGATTTCTTTTTGTTTCCTAATCTTCAAAATCTTCAAAGGGGGGTCCTGGTGTGGGTTAACGCAACAGACTGCAAAGCCGTTTGAACTGCAAGGTCTGTGGTTCAAATTCACCAGCTGCTCCTTGCAAACCCTATACAGGGTTGTTATGGGTCAGAACCGACTTGAAGGCACTTAACAACAACATTTTTCTTTAGTTCGTAATGAACAGAAGACTACACTGACGTGTTAAATTTCCAGGACCTTCAGTTCTTTAGGGATGGACTTTGTCACTGTAGGATAACCGCAAGGTCGGCAGTTCAAACCCACCAGATGTTCCTCAGAAACCCTATTCAGGGTCGCTATGAGTCAGAACTGACTCAATGGCACCTAAGAAAAACAACAATCATTTACAGAAGTAACTTGAACTTGACACTTATGTTGAGAAAGCTAATATTTGTTATTTTATCTTTAAATTCCAGCTTCCCACAAACTTTTTGAAATCCCCGCATATATTTAATGGACCTCTATGAAACACCTGGAACTTGACTGACACAGGACATTACAGGATGTGTCCCTTTTTAAAAAAAAAAAGAAATAGGTGCCTCTGCCCTTTGAAAAGCATTCACTTCCAGGAACTCAAAAGTTTGATGTTATTTTATCCTTTAGAACAGAAAAAAATATTAAACATTTTAAAATGAAAAAATATCTTAAAGCAGGAGGCCACACATTGCCATTGTTGTTGTTGTTAAGTACCATGGAGTCAGTTCTGACTCATAGCAACCCTGCACAGGGTTTCTGAGGCTGCAAATCTTTACGGGAGCAGAAAGCCTCATCTTTCTCCCGCGGAACAGCTGGTAGTTTTGAACTGCTGAACTTGAGGTTAGCAGCCCGATTAGTAACCACTACGCTACCAGAGCTCCTTACACATTGACATTGAGACCCCTCATTTTCACAGATGCTTGCCAGAAAGTTGCTGTGCTTATTTAGAACTCAGGCTTCCAATGGTAACGTCAATGAAAGGAACAGTTCTAGATCACAAATGTCTAACAGGGGTAAAAGAAATGAAGATAAAGACATCTCTATGTCTTACAGGAATGCTGACCTCATAGGAAATCTTTCTATTCTGTACCTACCACTATGCAATGTATCAGATTATGAACCTTACACTAAGGGCTCTCTTTGGCCTGGTGGTAGCTGTGAAAACTGGCTCTAATTTCAGAAATGCCCAAATGAACAGGAAAAAAGACAGAAGATGAAGGCGAGCGGAGAAGGGGAGACACTGGCAAGAAGCAGAAACAGTGGATAGTTGAAAAGGACCAGGACAGATACCCCAACATCAGCAAGTGGCAGTGGAGAACAGCCCTTGTGATGAATAAGAAACAGCAGTCAGGCTGGCATAGTTGTGCAGTCAGAAGAAAAGAACCAGTAGACCTTAGAAGTCCCTCCAGCAGCCCTTTGGCACAAGGTAAGCATCTTGACAACACAAATCTACACACTATAGCAAGATCCACCAGGACAAAGAACTTCTACATCGTCAAGCCACATGGCAGCCTTCACACACCAAGAGAGGACCAATGTGTGCAGCAGGGTTGACATGAGGTTCTGCAAATTACTGTCCAGACCAACTGCTCACTGTGTGCCCCCATACCTCTGAAATCCAAGGGTCAGAGTACATTATGAACACACTATAAAAACATCACAACAGCAACCTAAGGTTGAATGCTTTTTCTAAAGTAAGACAGAGTGCAAAAATATCTGGAAAGGCTTTCATAAAAAGGTTAAAATAGAATTTAAACATCTTGATTACTTTTTTTAAAAGGTTAGTTTCTTCTCCAATAATGTGGATTAACAAGTAGGCCCCCGATGCAGGAGGACCCTATGCACAAAAGAATAAAATGCTGCCGCGTCCCCATGATATATTGGGGACTGGACCATTGTGATCCATTGATTTTTCACTGGTTGATGTTTCGGAAGTAGATTGCTAGGTCTTTCTCCCTAGTTCATCTTGGTCTGGAAGCTCTGCTGAGACTGTCCAGCATCACAGCAAACATGCAAACCCCCTACCGATAGATGGCCTGTAGCTGTGCAGGAGGTGTACCTGCTGCAAATCACACCCTGGTCTCTCACATGGAAGGGTAGGATGCTACCACTGAGATACTGCTGTTGTTGCTGATAAATGCTGCTGAGTCAGTTTAGTCTCATAGCAACCCTGTAAAGAGTTTCTGAGGAGCATCTGGGGGCTTTGAACTTCCAACTCTGTGGTTCATAGTCCAGGGTGGATCCTACAGCACCACACCTGAAGTCCACTGAGATATTAGAGTGTATACAATTCTGAATTGGAACATAGACAGCGAGCGTCCCTCACAAGATTTGGTCCTTGAGTCCAAGCAGTTAGTGTCAGTCTAACAGAGAAGTATTCGATCTTCCCTAAGGAAACCAGCCTGGAAAAGTCTTTCCCATCTATCTTCCTCCTTCTGAGGACTTTCATTTCCCCCAAGCCCCACACAGAAAGAACAATGAATGAGATTCCCTACTATTATCTTTACATCTATGGGGCTTCTTTAGCCTCTTGCCCTCTGAAGAATTCTCTTCAACTAGAAAATTCTAAATTAAGATAATCCTTTGGACTCTGAATTGCACTTATTCCTTATGCATTCTGGATCTATCACTTCATATTGTCACTGGTTTTCCTGTACTTTCTTTGAGTTTCTGCTCAGTAGAGCTAAAAGGGCTATTGTACTTAATTCTTTTAAGCCTCAAACGTGATCTAAAGGAAACTATGCACAGAGCTCACATGGTCTGAGAACAATTTAATGTGATGTCTTGCCAGCGATGATAAGAAAATCTCAGAGTTCAGATTTCAGGTGTAGTTAACTTTTGGGCATAGCATGCTTGCCTGAGCAATGTCTAAGGTTGTGGCAGACTAGGCAAAGCTGCTGACGTAATGAAGAGCTACTATTTCAACCACCACAATGCTCCTCCTGCCTCAGAGAAGAAAAGATCACAGGAGACTCTCTCTTTGAAGGGGAAACACCTTTCTGTAGCCTTGAATTCCACTCATTAATTATCAGCAGGGAGTCTTCAACATCATGTTATCAACATTTTCAGAGTGCACATTAGTACGTAATGCATAGACTTAACCAGCATTATGGTGGTTTTTTTAAGTTTTTATAGTGAATCGAGTGATAGTTTACATGGGGGAACATCAGTTCGTTTCATTGCAATGATTACAATCCACTGTATGATTCCTCACATTTAACAGTATTGCTTCTATGCCCTCTGTTTTTGTTATTTTTTGTATGGGAACCAAAACACTAAGGAATATACAATCATTCAAACAGCCAAAGGGCACACCCTGCCCCTGACACCAACACATATCCCTCTCTCCCTCCACGAGTCTAGAATCCTCAGCACTAGCATTATGTTTTGCAGTTAAACAAAATTAAGCTGACGCCAACCAGAATCAATATAACTTAAATATAAAACTGTTGTTAGTTGCTGTGGAGTTGCTTCCCCACTCACGATGACCTTGTATGTAACAGGACAGACACTGCCTGTTCTCGCGACAGCCACACAATTGGTGTGTTGAGCCCTTGCAAACAACAAATATAAAACATATTGGTCTCAACGTTCAAAATTCTTATTGTGGGGTTCACTACACAGATGGCAGAGTTGGAAAGAGAGTTACAAGTGTATTTCCATAATGCACGTATGAAAAGGCTGCCTGGCATGATGCGGCTCCAATTCTCCCAGACTGGCTTGGCCACACAAACAAAATACAAAGCCCAAATGTGACTGCAGCTGGAAATGCATTTGCTGTTATAAGACCAGTGACCCCAATACCTCGATTCAGTTCACATACATACATACACACACAGAAACTCATCTCTCTCAAGAACCATATTTTTCTTTTCAATTCAGTTCCTAAGTGCTGTAAAAGCTTTTCAGAAATGAACCTGCAGAAGAGATAACCTTGGGATTCTAGGATTTAAAAAGAAAAACAAACCAACAAAAGGCTGTCTCAGAAACCAGGCGCCCATGTCACTCAGAACACTCTCTCTGTGCCCTGCACACAGACATAGAGGAAACAAAGCAAATCACTAGGGCCTAGCGGGGGGTAATGAATAGAATGGGAAACAGTCGCAGAGAATGATACTCAAGTCTGGAGAATAGAAAAGGTTATGGGGAAATAGAAAAAAAAAAAAGGGGGGGGGGGGAAACACTGATGAATGGAAAATATTTTACTTGACTTCCATCTCCACACACACATCTCTGCAAGGTTAAGTGGTAAGCATGTCAGTGATTATGTGAAACAGATTTAAGTAAACTAGAGAGCTCACAGGAAATCTTACTCCACTTTTATACTAGGTAACTGACTTGACAGCGCAACTTAACAACTCTGATCATAATGTGAGTTCCTAAATATCCTTTGGAGTGCTGGTGTGACTCTGAGGGATAAAGCACTGGACTGCAAGGTCAGTTTGAATCATAAGGTTGGCGGTTCAAACTCACGGGCTGCTCCCTGGAAACACTATAAAGAGCACTTAACAACAACAACAAATATTCTTTGCTTATTTCAAGTATATTTACATAATCTGAAAATGAAACACATGATAATACCATATTGTGGAATATTATCATATGTGTGTGTACGTATGTGTAAATAAAATAAAAATTGAGGCAATTCTGACACATGGGGGGGACTCCAAGTGTGCCAGAGAAAAACTATTCAATAGGGTTTTCAATGGAGATTTTTCAGAAGCAGACCTGCAAATCTTTCTTCTGAGGTACTTCTGAGAGAATTCGAACCTCCAACCTTTCAGTTAGCTATGGAGAGTATTAGCCGTTAGCAACACACAAGGACTCCACACACACACACACACACACACACACACACACACACACACACTTGCCTCTTTTCACTTGGAACCACCAAGGAGCTGGGAGAAAAACTGAGAGGGTGGCAGAGACTTACCGAGGATTCACTGTCTCTAATGAGGAAGTCTCCTTCCACGCCCCGCTCATTCAAGGCACACTCCGCTTGGTGCCGCGTGACGTTCCCATAGTACCACTCTCTCCCAGCGAACCGGCCAGTAGCTGAGGGTCCTGTGTAGCTTATCTGAGGGGCATGGGAAGGGTGCAGCGAGGGCCCATCACTCAGGACCACTACATAGTTTTTGGGAACAAGGCCAATCTGCCCCCGGGAATTTTTGCATTTCCACCATTCTGGGTCGTTTTCTGGTTTTTCGATCACTTCCATTGTTTCTCCCTTCTCAAAATTGAGCTCCTCCTCAGTCACGGAGCTGAATGGATAGAGTGTCTGGACCACGTGGAGGACCCTCGGGGCCTGGCCGTTGCTCAGGGAGGCGCCCTTCCGTAAGCTCAGAAAGCTTGGGGAATCCGCGCACGCTTCGTCCACCTCCTCCATGACGTAGTTGGAAGGGAACCAACCAATCTGCCCATTGAAGCTTCCTCGCCACCATCCGTCACTGCATTTCTCCATGACGACGACACGGGACCCCTTCACCAAAGACAGCTCATCCTCCCTCTCAGCGAGATAGGCAAATTTGACGTAGGCCGGGATGTTGAGATCGTAGATGCGGTCCGCTGCGCTTCCGTTGGAGGGATACTCCGCATCCGTGCTAGGCGTTGGGGAGGCGTCTCTTGCACTAGTCTTCCTTTTGGTTTTGCCCAGGCCTGGGGAGACACAGGGGACGGGGTCAGTGGGCACTGCAGCAGCAGCAGATGTACAATAAAATACCACGTATGTTTTTCAGATGGTTAGATAACTAGTACTTGTAATGATAGATAATCAGGTTTGATGCCATTCCTCTGTCAATATAATACAAAGCAGGAAAAAAAATCAACTATGATTACAAACTACAGTTGCCATCAGAAAAGTAGAATTGTGATAACTGCGTTGTGCTGTGTGAAATTTATAAAAATGGCAAATTACAGAAACTGGCCTTTCTCCTTTACTTATTTAAAAAAACAAAAAACAAAAAAAAAAGCTAAAGGACCATAATAAAAATGGTGGGAAGTTCTGTCTCATTCTGAAATGAGAATTTGAGAGTATTCCTGTGAGCTCAGATAGAAAGAATGTATAAAGGCACAGACAGAGCATCTTCTGCGTTCTTGTCCTGGATGGGAAGCTGAACGAAATGAATTCAAAGACCCATTCCAACTCAGAGACAGTCTAAGTCTTAGCAAGCATACCTTATACTCTGGGGTGCTGCTCCCTTCCGGTCCCTCATAACCAAGCCTCCCTCACCCCCTTCATTTAGTGCTGTCATTGAGCTTGCATATCGCTGCCTGGCAAATGGACCCTACTGGACAGCTATGGATACTACTCACCTTTCCTCTCTTCCTGAAACTCCTTTTTTCTTTCAAAATTTCCCACAACAGGTTGTGATAAGTAAATTAGAAAATATTAGCTGATACTATGATTCTGACTCAGCGACATCATGGCTGTGCTCCATGGAGTTTTCAATGTCTGTCATCTTTCAGGGACAATCCTGGTGGGTCTGTGATAAAGTACTTAGGTGCTAGTTGAAAGGTCAGCAGTTCGAACCCACCAGCTGCTCTGCAGGAGAAAGCTGTGGCAATCTGCTCCCATAAACACTACCGTCTTGGAAACCATATGGAACCCCTGTCCTGGGGGATCCCTGAAGCATTAGAAATAAACTCAGCAACAATGGGTAACAGTTTTCAGAAGTAAGTCACCAGACCTTCCTTATGAAGTGCCTCTGTATATATTCAAACCCCCTGTCTTCCCACTGATAGGCTTTGAGTGTTTATCTGTGACACTCAGGGGTTCTTAAAACCACGATTCTTGTTAAGTGCTGCGGAGTCAGTTCCAACTGATAGCAGCAACCCTGTATAGGGTTGCCCAGGGGTGGCTGGTGGGTTTGACCTTATAGTTTAAACCAACCTGTCTCTCCAGTGCTTATCCTATAGCGCTATACCAGCACTCGCAAACCTACTAATAAATTATAAAGTCAATTTAATGTCTTTTTTTAATAAAGGGAATAAGATAGAAAATTTTAGACTGTATCAAACACAGTAAGGATAAGTATTGCTTCTGAAGTTAGATATGTGCATATATCCCAGCTTGTAATGTGAAACATATTTCTTGCTATACGTGAGGAAATACATTTGACAAGCCCTAAGGGAAAAACGCCTTAACCTAGTTATAATGCACAGAACTCTGGAACACTCTTGAGACGTGAGTCCAAGGAAGGACGCCCAGCCTCAGAACATTTCCTAATAGAAAGCAGAATGCCCACGAGGTCTGCTTCAAACTCTTAGATTCTATATGAAAAATGTGGTCACTTGCGGCCTTGTTTTCCCTTCCAAAATGACACTACAGCATTCCTTGGGGTAACTTGTGCCTAACTGTCCTTTTATAACTTAAACTGGAATGAAGATACTTCTACTATCTTGCTGAGTAAGTATGAAGTCCTAGGTCATGTGGACTGAAATGCTGCATCTACCATTGTCTACTGGGGAGAGCTGATCTGCCTTCTAGAGTGGAACTGCCCAGCATCTGAGGTCTCTGTTCACTCTGTGCCACCCAGCACAATGAGTCAGGTGAAAAGCCTTCACAAAAGCACAATAAGGGACTTGCAGCATGCACTGTTGGCAAGTGGTCACTCATAGGGATTTGAATGCGAATAAATACATCAGTACATCCAAGTTCATGGCTTCTGCTGTCTCTTTATGGACCACAGTCAAGTACAAGGCAAGTCCAAGAGAAACCTAGAATACTGGATCTAGGATAGAAACCTATGGAATATGTGTTCAAAACTTAGACAGTGTTCACTCCCTTCATTATGAAACCCTGAAATACTAGGTTGGAGAATAACTAATCCATGTGTTTTCAAATGCAGGACGGTTCAACTCTGAGAGAACACTATGATAATTCAGCAGCTCCAACATCCAGAAAGCTGACAGCAAACCTCTGTCCAGGAACAAAACTCAGAATCATAAAAAGAAAAAAAAAACCAGGCTTACTAGTTGGATACAAACTGGTGGAACCTCAAGACTATGGCCCCTTGTCACCTCACCATTCAGGCCTAAACGGAACTCACCCTGTTCAGCTAGATTCACAGTGTTAAGCTAAACAGTAGACATGTCTATAATGTGAGATACGCACACCTTAGAACAATCAACCACTTGTATTAAAGGGGCACCTAGGAAAGGAGGAGGCATGGAAACAGAAAACACAGGGAGGAAGTGAGATGGGTAAGTGATATTTTATTGTGGGGCTTGCAATCAATGACATGAAACAAAATAATGTATAAACTGTTGAATGGAAATAAGTGATCTGCTTTGTAAACCTTCACCCAATTCACAAGGAAAAATCAATAACGACCACCAGAAAAGACAACACTAGAGCTTGGTTATCACTGCTGCTATTACTGTTGTTAAGTGCTGTCAAATAGATTCCCATTCATAGCGACCCTGTGGGTTTCCGAGGAGCAGCTGGTGGGTTTCAACTGCCTACCTTGTGGTTTGCAGTCCAGCGCTCATATGACAGCCCCACATCAGGAATCCTTGATTATCATAACACATTATATGTGGTATATCTTACATGCACTTCTTACAATACTTTATAACTGATTTTTATATGTAATACTTTATCTGGTGTCCTGGTATGGCACTGTAGGATAAGCATGGGACTTTCAAGGTTGGTTTGAACCGCAAGATCGGCAGTCCAAACTCACCAGCTGCTCCTCAGAAACCCTCTACAGGGTCGTTATGAGACAGAACCAACCTGACAGCACTTAACAACAACACTTTATCTGGTGGCATTTTCTACACATAAAATAATTTATGTGAGTTAGTACAACCACTGAGTTCTCACCTTGTGCTGGGTACCATCCTAGACACTGGGGAACCTGAGATAGACAAGACAGGCTGACTGTTTACATGGGGCTCACATTTTCCTTCCAGAACTGTGATTACTACAATAGCAAATACACAAGGGACAATTAACCTATTGTGCTCTAATGAGATCTGATGAGTCTGAGGTAAATGCAGGTTCTATGCTTCAGGGTGTCTGAAAGTACAGTGCTGGGTGGGAGTCCTGGATCTGCTCCTTATTGGCTACATGTGGTTGGGAAAGTTACTTAATCTGTGTCTCTGTACTTAACATTCTGATTTCCACATAGATTTCATTTACCTGTAAAATGCGGACAATTACACATAAATTCAGATTATGCATATAAAAAGCTAAGCATTGGAAGTATTCTATTCATGATAATTGTTGTTATTGTTGATAAGTGTTGTCGAGTCGGTTCTGACCCACAGCAACCCTGTGTAGGGATTCCGAGGAGTGAATAGTGGGTCTGAACCACTGGCTTTCCAGTTCAAATTGACCTTGCGGTCCAGTGCATTATCCTGCAGCGCTACACCAGGACTCCTTTTCACGATATGAATACACGCTTATTAACTGAGATGGGACTTTTGGTTTCTCTTTTCACAGAAAGCTATTTTACCAAAAGAGGGCCGAAGACATCTTTAAACACTATTGGCTATGGTTCCACTAATGCTAGGTGGCCATCAAATAGAAAGCTTGTGTATCAGGTTTTTGGCACTTGGGAAACCTTCTTCTGTGGGAGTAAAGTTATGTGTAGTTGCTGGTGCAGTAAGATTCAAGAGGCAGGTATCTGAGACTCAGGAAGGGCCCTACTTTACTGACACCTGCATTATCTGAATGCTCACAAGAGTCCTCTAATAAAGTGGATGTTGTTAAGTGCCATCAAATCGGTTCCAACTCAAATCCATCCTGTATAGCATTTCCAAAGGAGCTCTGGTAGCGTACTGGTTAAGAGTCGGGCTGCTAACCTCAAGGTCAGCAGTTCAAAACTACCAACCACTCCACAGGAGAGGGATGAGGATTTCTGCTCCCGTAAAGATTTATAGCCTCATAAACCCTATGCAGGGTTGCTATGAGTCAGAACAGACTCCATGGCACACCACCACCACCACCACCACAACGACTGGCTGGTGGGCTTCAACCACTGACTTTGCAGCTTTGCAGTCCAGTGTTTATGCTACAGCACCACACAAGGACTCCTGATTTTTTACAGATGAGGAAAACAAGGCTTAAAGAGACCTGGGAATTGCCCTAACCCTCACATTTATTAAAGTGGTATGTATAGACCTGCATACCCATGAAAGCCTATTTAATCCAAAACATTCAAAAAGTGTTATTCTGTTAGAGACTGATTTGTACCATGATTTTCATGGCAAATACATTGTCATGTATCACACAATTTCTATGTGAAAATGCATCCAGGATTCTGAACTAGGGTGTAACCCACCCAGTCACCCTCCTGAAACATTTCTTCAGATTCTAGGGAATGAATATGGCCCCCATGTCGGAGATGGGAGTGGGGCTATGGTTTACCTAATGGAGATTTAGTATAAGAAATGTAATGCAAATAACAGGCCAGGGGCCTCCAGAATACAGTTAGACAGACGCGGATTAGGGATGGAGGGGGTTGTTGGTAGAAAGTGTGTAGACGGACCAAGTTGCTTGAATTGCTGAGAAAAAGGGATACAATTTTTTTTTTTCTTTTCTCCATTTGTCCCTTAGCCTGATTCTGTCCAATGTCTGAGCCAGAGCAATCTGAAACGGAAGGGACAAGGGACCCTGCAGTGTTGGTAAAGCAAATTTCAACTTTGCTCCT